TCCTCCTTTCTTCTCCCCTAATATTCAAACAATAATTAATAATAATAATAATGATGAATGGCAGAAGCAGAATCAAAGTCCGAATCCCTCTTCTACTGCCAGCACAACTTGGGGTCCACCATAGCCATGGACGCCCTTCTCCTTCCTCTTCATGAGGTCGAGGCTATGGCGGACTACTTGGGCCTTGCCCGGACGTGCAAAAGACAACGCAAAGCAGGTATGGCCACTTCCACTCAGGCCGCCATGCCTGACTCTGCCTCGAAGCTTCTTGATGCAGCTCTACGCCAACAGGGGCCTTCCAGATGCAGCACCCACCAAGATGATGGAGATGGCACCCACCATAGCCAGGTAAGTACCCCTGGCGGGCCCCTCCTCCTGCTTCGAGCTCCTCCACCATAGCCAAGGTGGAGCTCTGGGTGCTCCTTCCCCACAGCGCAGTACACCAGTGCTGCTCCACCACGCACTCCAGCAGCGTGTCGCCCAAACTTTAATGCAACAAATGAGGAAGAGCTCCTGGCTCTTACTGGAGATATAGCGAGGCAGCAGGCTCCTTGGGCGGTGACTTTTAGGCCGCCCGGCCTCCAAGCAACCGGTACCTCCTCCCTCTCAGAGGGAAACATCACTGCAGGCTCTGATATCGTCTGCACAGGCCCTAGACTACAGGCTACTTGGACTGGTGCCCGCCTAGACCTAGCCTACTGCTACTGGGCCTCTAAAAATGCCAACTTTTGTCTTCTTCTACTCGGCCTCCAGTCCCCGGACCATCTACCGCTACTTCGGATGGTACCGGCCTACCTGCTACTTGAGTGTGCTCTAAGTGTTGCGGGCCTACTCCCGCTACTTGAGTGTTTTCGCCGCTGCAAGTCACGGCCACAGGTAAGTACCGGCCCTGTGGGGCCTTGCAAACAAACAAGTACCGTTGCGGGTCACACACACACTCAAGCCGCCAAGTAGTCAGGCAGGCATACAGACCAGCAAGCACGCACACACACAGACTTAGAAAATTCAGCAAAAGCGGGAATCTCAGCAAGGCATTCAGTCTAGCGGCAAAACACAGAAGTCAGCTCTGTTCTCAGTCCATGTTTGGGCAGGTCCTTACACTCCCCCCCCCTCAAGAGCGAGGTCCCTTTGAGCAAGTCACTGTCCCTGACAAACACATCATAAGCAAACATAGTGAAGAGGTTCCGTTTATAGTACTTTATACTCAGTAGCAGTGAGTTTTGCAGAGATTTTTGGAACAGCACCGGACTCTATTTGTTGTTCATATGCTCTGACAACACGAGGTGCGCTGCACAGCAGTTCTGTCTTTGAGATCCAGTAGAGATTGTCCAACGGGTGATACATGACGTGAACCTGGTACTGTCTGTTATGTCCCTTTCCAGTATGATTAGTAATTTTGTCCATCTCGTGACCGCCATTGATTGCACGAGGGATCACTTTCTCACGATATTTGAAGGATTTTGCATCAAGATATGGAAACAGTTTAGATGTGTGAAAGACCGGGTATGTGTGCAGATGAGGAGGCACATCAATCACATACGAAGGACCGAACTCATCATTGCCAACCAAATCCAGGACCTCCCACAGACCGTAGTAGAGGGAGAAGTTTGTGTGACACCCCCTCTTCTTCCGAAAATTCAGACATCTTGACCCAGACATAACTTCCTGCCTTAAAGGTCGTTGGTCTGCGCTTCTTGTTGGGCTACTGGTTCCCCTGCCCATCTTGGCGGGAACGTCATTGCAGTCTGACATCTCCCCATACAGGCTGTAGATTCAGGCTGGTACCCTACTCGGTCGTATCCCTAAGCCTACCGGACCTCTAAAATACTAGCTCGGCCTACCCAAAGGTACTACCTTTTTGTCCTTTTCTGCTATATATCCGCAGCTACTTGATTTTTGGCCTCTGCGGGCCTTCTTTCCTCTACTCTACCCGTTGCACCCCCAAACACACATGGTCACAGGTTAGTACCAGGCCCAAGGGCCATTCCAGCATGCAGGCCATCACCAGTGGGTCACACATGTACAAGTTCTCGGACAGGTGGGTAAGCACAGGGACACACATATCAGCAAGCACTCGGACCAGACACACACACTCAGACAGCTGGAATCCAGACAACACACACATCAATGGCAAAAACTCAGAAAAGCACAGGTTTCACAGTCTGCAATTTTGCAGTTTATTACATTCCAAACTGAAACCTACACTGGTAGGCGGAGTCATCTTCGGAGTTTGAGAGCTGTTGAGTGGGCACTTATTGCTCCCCTCAACTAATGGCAGAAATTTGAAATTCGAATCTGCTCTAATCTGAAAGCCAGTGGCCAGCGAAACATTGGTATAAAAGTTTCATTTATGAATGGAATCCATCTATGACCTCACACAAAGTATACAAGGTTCATTTCATACTTGCGGCGCATTTGTGCGCTGCGCCACATGCGGATGACTGGTGCACGCGCACCACACGCATGGCGCATAGGTGCGCTATATGCGCATGCGCGCGCTACTCATGCGCCGTGTGCTGATGCGCGCGCACCTGTGGGCCATGTACTAGGGTGGTGCGCCAGATGTGCTGCCTTTCTTTTTTTTTTTTTTTTTTTTTNTTTTTTGGGTGCTTCCACCACCCGTTTGAACTCAGCGGAAAGGTTCCTCTCTCTCTCTCTCTCTCTCTCTCTCTCTCTCTCTCTCTCTCTCTAGCAAACAATTTAAACATTATTAGAAATTTCAACAAACAAAATGGTGGACAGCCCCCCCTCCTCGTCATCTCTCTCTCTCTCTCTCTCTTCAAGTCGTCAATGAGCTGCTTCGGCAGAGCGGGCGCCATTGCCACTGTCACCTGCATCAAGGAGAAGGCCACAACAGAAAATGGTGGTCAGCCCCTCGAATTCCCTCCCCCCTCGTCCAGCTCCATCATTCTCTCCTCTAATCCCCCTCGGCTATGCAACATCCCGGCGGGGAATTAAAAAAAAAAAAAAAAAAAAAACGATGAGCAAATCAGATTGCGGAAACAACATTCCAAAAGGAGGAGGGAAAAAAACTGCAAATGCCAAATTGAGATTTGTGCCTGGATTCCATTCAATATTATGAATCAAAGTACCCACTGGTATATATGCTAATTGTGCACAATTTCCCAAAGCTTGCTCCAGGTACGGATGGCAACTAGAAGAAGGGTAGTTGGATGGAGAGAGAGGGAGGAAGGAGGAGGGATAGATGGATGAAGAAGAAGGGAGAAAGGAGGAGGGAGAAAGGAGGAGGGAGAAAGGGAGGAGGGAGAGATGGACGAAGAAGAAGGGAGGAAGGAGGGAGAAGTGAGGTGCTGCATGGAGGAGGGAGAAAAGGATGAAGGAGGCAGAAAGGAGGAGCGAGAAAGGGAGGAAGGAGAGAGGTAGAGATAGACAATGAAAGAGGGGAGAGGAGGAGGGAGAGAGGAAGAGGGAGAGATGGACGAGGAAGAACGGAGAGAGGAGGTGGGAGAAAGGGAGGAAGGAGGAGGGAGAAAGGAAGGAGGAAAGAGGGGGCAGCGAGTTGAGTCAGTCGACGCGTGGAGGATGGGAGGGGTGGAGTGAAAGGCCCTGTCGTTAACGTAAGGGGTGGAGGTGTCGAACGGAGTGAAAGGCCCTGTCGCTAACGTAACAAGGGCGAAAAAAAAAAGAAGTGATTGGATGGTGAAATGTTCGAAGGACAGAGACAGGAGGAGAAGGGAAGAGCGAATAGAGAGAGAGAGAGAGAGAGAGAGAGAGAGAGAGAGAGAGAGAGAGAGAGAGAGAGAGAGAGAGAGAGAGAGCTGGCGGCAACCCACCTCAACCGGCTCGGTGATTCCTCCTCGCTCCCGCTGCCCGCTCCAGCTGCCTCCTGCTGCCTGCTGCTGCCTCCTGCTGCCTCCTGTTTCTTGCTCGGGCTGGTGCTGCTGGTGACGGGCGGGCACGACCGACGATGAATGACGACGAACACGTACCACACGACGGCTACCAAAGTGACAAGGCACAACTGGCAGGTCGGTGAAGTGCCGGGGTACCCAACGGCGGCGTGGGGGAGGCCTGAGTAGTTCGAAAACAAACTACTCAGATCTCCCCCCAAAACTTTTATCGGCCCTCAGCGCGGCCAGAAAAAAAATATTCGCGCCCACGGAGGCAATTTCCCCCGGTACCCCTCCAGGCCTCCCAACCCCCCCGGAACTTTTTTTTTTTTTCCACGACCCCTGTTTTGGCCGATGCGCCGCATGCAGTGCACACGCCGGCTGTGCTCTGCGCTCTGCGCCGCACATGCCGCGATGCCGCGCATGGCATGCGCCGCGAGTATGGTTCATTTACGATTTATCTATCGGCCAGATGCCTCATGCCTTCTTCCTTGATTGGTCATGGGAGTGTCTTCTCTGGAACATTTCAGTGGGCTGCTAACACAATTGACATCGTATGTTTGCCAAAAGGGTTATTTGTTGTGGTATTGTCTCCAAATTTCTCATCTTAAGTTGATGTAATGCGTCCACATTTGCATAGTTTGTCCTGATGACTCAGTTGGCTCAATGTCGGCCAGAAAGTCATAACCTGCAAAGGTTTTTCTCGAAACGCGTCCACAGTGTTTTTGGCCAGTGATGGGTATAACAGCAAAGCAGACATTTTTAGGAGAACCAGTGGTCCAAAAGTTTTGGGGAGGTATAATAGCAAATTTTGCCTTCCAGTTCTTGGGTCACCAGCAGACAGCCGAAAACCAGAGGCATCAAGGGATTTGACTCATTTGAGCTAATATCCCTTCCTCATAAAGTTTTCATGAGCTGCGGCCGGACATCACAGACACTCCCCCTACAGGGTCCAATTGGCTTTGAT